TCTCTCTCTCTCTCTCTCTCTCTCTCTGACTCGTTTGCCGTTGTGTGCCAGGCAAGAAGCAGATTGCACGAGATTAAGGCTTGGGATTCTGCAGGGAGAAAAAAAGGACCGCATAAAATAAATAAACGAGTGGAAGTCATTAATTAAAAATGCATGCCCTGTGCGAATGAAGAGGACGTAAAAGAGGGAGGGAAAGAGAAAGAGGCAGGGTATATTGAGTTGGAGAGGCAGAGAAGCGCTCGGCGAGGAGGACGTGTCTCAACACCACCGAGAGAGTGAGAGAGGTGGGTGGAGGAGAGAGAGAAAGACAGAGAAACCAGAGTTGGAAGTGTTTTGTTTTTTATTCTGCTCTGACTGGTTGCCGTGCTCATGTAAGATGGAGGGATCCAGAGGAGAGAAGGTGTGATGTTGTAGTGCGTTTGACCACGTGTGTCTTGGGAGCTACAGCTGTGTCACATCTGCCAGCGTGATGGAAGAAAGACTGCATGTCAACATACGTAGGCTCCGCTCTCTCTAAGGTTTGTACTACTGCTGTGTAACGGTATTGGTTGAGTTGGTAGTGTTCCTTGATTGATCAACATGTCCTGACCACGTGTTGTGATCATGTTCATTATTTAGTGACTGTGCATTGTTTATACATAGTATTCATATTTTCTACAGGCGTATTGATGTGTGTGCGTTGTGTTTACATCTCTACAGCTTTCCTTTGATAATGTTTTACTGTCTTGTAGCAGAGTAGGTGCAGTAGAGGGTTTAGTGTCACCAGGCTCTTCAATTAATCCAGATTAAACACGAAAGAATCAGTTCAACCAAATTATAAAAAACATATTTTTCTCAATCTGCTGCTATGTATTCATGCAGATGCCTTTGGTGGTATTTATTTGAATGTGTTGTATACTGAGATTTCTTCCTCTACCACAATACAAAAGAGGTGAATGGAAGTTTATTTATTCTGCTCACAGCATTAAAAAAAACTATATTTACTTTTTTTACAGACGCTTATCTTTGCTAAAATAATGTCCCTGTTATTTAGAATAATCCAAACTGTTCACTGTGTATGTACAGTTTTAACTGGAACTATGTTCTGGTGAAGAAATAGTCCCTAATAGTTGGGTTTGTTTGGGTTATAGCTGAAACAAAATCTCGTTTAATTAATTAGTCAATAGACCGAAAATTGATCTGCAACTATTTTAATTATCCATTAATTGTTGAAGTCAAGGTAATTTTATTGAAATAGCACATTTCATACACAAAGGCAATTCAAAGTGCTCTACATAATACATTACACATTAAAATGCTCATTTAAAAGAATAGAAACCTTTTTAAAGGAAAGAAATGAATATCTGCTTGTATTCTATGACCGTAAATGTCGGTCAGACCAAACAATACTTTTAAAGACATAATTGTGACATTTTTACACCAAAGGATTAATCAAAAAACATTCTGCAGATTGATATATAATGAAAATAATCATTACTTGGCTGAACCGACACTTTCAGGCACACACTGCGTCCTCATCGCTCTTATTTCAATCTTCAATCTTTTTAAATGTATTTTTTATAACCCTCGCTCACCTCACAGAATTTCACTCAATTCCTCCACCGTCATGGCCATCCCTCGCTCTCTCTTCCTCTCTTCCTCTCGGCATTCGTCTCTTCTTGACTACATCCTCTCTGCGTATTTAATGCCTCCTGCCCTCCTGTAATGGGCTGAGAATGAAATAATGATGATGTGTAAAAGATATGTGCTGGATCTCGGGCTAGCTAGAGGCTACTATTAGAACATGAAAACATTTCAGTTGTGTTTGTGGCCTGATTTGAGAAATAGAGATATATTGAACCGTTTTCACACACTAAACTCACAGAGGAGGGGAGCGTGGACTGGATTGACTTGTGCTGGATCTCCCTTCCTCTCTCCGTGTCTTTAGGGGCTGCACAGAGGAGTATGAGATGAAGACCATGGAGCAGAAGCCAGAACCTGAGCCCCTGGCGGCCGGCTACCGGCCCTCCCCTCGCCCGATGTGGCGATGGGACAGCCCACCCATTCCTCCAGGGCTCCACAGTGTCCCCAACCAACAGCGCTGGGCCCCCATGGGTCCCCCTCCTCCTCCACTGCCCCGCTCACACAAGACCCTGATGCCTGTGCCCTACAGGGAGCCCCAGCACCTCAACTCTAAGAGGTGAGACTTTTTTTGCAGCAGCATGTTTCTCACTTAATTTGTGTTTCTGTAGCAGTCTTACTCGTATTCCTCACCTCTCTGCTGTCTGTTTGCTGCAGGTTAACTGTCACCCTCTTTGTGTCCCCTCCAGGCCAGTGAGCTACCCAGAGAACCACTACAGTCTGTCTCCTGCAGGAGGCGACAGAGTGCTGCCCTACAGAAACCCCTCTGCCAGCTTCTCCTCACCCTCCTCCGGCCTAGTCGGCCTCTCCATGATGGGGCCGCCTGGAATCACACCAGGCCCCTTCATACGCTACAAACCCTCCCCGGACAGGTGTGTGTGTGGGGGGGGTCTTGTTCGTCTTCCGAGCTCTCCTCCATCCCTCTTTTAATCTTGATTAAACATGTCTGATGTAACTCCTAACTACTGTTTTGTTTGCTCGAGGTGGATTATATCTGTTTATACGATGAGGCTGACTAATGTGTCAGGCCTGCAGTTAGACGTGTATGAACACACTGTCTCCTTGAGGAAGGATCTGGTGTGTGGGCGGCTCTTCCTCATTGTGTGGAGGTTGATAACATCTCGCCCAACTGGATAAATGTGTTTTATTCAACTGCCATCAGGACGCAAAACAGAAATTCAAATCCTCACGCTACATTTTAAGGGCTTTTCTTTGGAGTTTCATTTGAGTAATTTACCCACACATTTTTTGTTGTTTGATATATAACTGACAGTGGCATGAAGGTGGTTATTAATCAAATGCCGCCCCTCCTCCCATCTGTGTAGATATGGAGCAGGACAGCGCCCCCTGCTGCCCTATGAGCCCCATTTCAGTGTGGACGTCACCTCCAGTGGAGAGTCTTCCTCAGGCTTCACCAGTCAGGAAAGCACCATGGAGCGCTGCAAAACAGGTACACCACGGTCAGAAACTGCAAGCAGCTAATGTACAATATGTTGTGAATACTCCTTTAGTCAATAATTGTATGTTGACAATGGATCACATTGTATGTGAAAGGGGTTGTTCGTAGTGATGAACACACAGAGAATTATCACCTGACTGTGACTCTCAGCTCTCATTAGCGTTTTGATCTTTTTCTCATTAGTTGGTCGAGACCAAAACAGAGCTAAAAGAGAGTGACAAGACTTAATCAGGTGGCCAAAAATACAACTCCTAAATAATAATAATGTTGCCCCAAATCTGCATAACTGATAATATGTGGCCAAAAAATAATTTGTTGCAGGTTGTAAATTAATCAGACTTGTCTTACACTGCGTTCATGGTCTATTTTGTTAAAGTATGTGCCTGTGTGTGTGTGTGTGTGTGTGTGTGTGTGTGTGTGTGTGTGTGTGTGTGTGTGTGTGTGTGTGTGTGTGTGTTGCACAGTAGAGATAACAGAGTGTGACTTTGTGCGTGGGTGGAGGTCAGTGTTTAAATGTGCTATAAGTATTTAATCCTCTTTGCCAACCATAGAGGTTCAGTGTAATTTTCTTTAATCCTGTGAGTGTCTGTGTGTGTTTCTGTCTAGAACCCCTCTGGCATGTCCCAGTGCCGTCGTCTCGGGGTCCTGGGGGTGGAGGGGGGCAGAGGAGACCAACCAGACAGGATGTCCCGGGGAAAGACTCTCCAAACAGACACTCGAAGGTCAGACTTGTCCTCACCCCGTCTCATTTCATTCGTCTTCTTTGCCTCGTTGCCTCTGAGTTTGTCTAAATGTCTTGTCCCCCTCTGCAGGGCGAGACTCCGTACTCCAGCCACTCCAGCAGTAACACTCTGTCCAGTAACGCCTCCAGCAGCCACAGCGACGAGCGCTGGTTCGATGGAGGAGCCGGAGGAGAGCGAGGAGGCGACCCGGTGGACCCTGACCCCGACCTTCTCAACAAGGGGGGGTCCAACGACAGTGGGATCGACGCCTCAACCCACTACAACAACAATCGGCAGGGAAACATGTCCAACAGCCAGTCCCACAAGCCCATGCACTCCTTTGCGCCCTACAGCGGCATCCAGGAGCTGTCCGTGGGAAACGGCAGCGGCAGCAGCGGAGAGGCGAGGAGACGAGAGTCCTCGCCCATCATAGCAGCTTCAGCTAATCAGAACAAAGGGTACCGCACCAGGACATTCCCGCCTCCGGGCTCCAGCGCCGAGAAAATGGATGCTTTCAAGCCCAGGTAGGTGTCTCACTGATGAGAGGCATCTTCTGTAAAACATAACATTAACCTCAATGAATGGCTTTTATTATATAGAGAGAGAGTGTTGCATTCATAAGTCTTGCAGTTAAATGTTGCTCGGCTTCATAAGACTTAAGTGAATGATGCACCAAGTAGCCGTTATTTACCACCACCAGATTCTTTAACGACAATAGTTTGACACATGGAAATCTATCTTTAAAGGACACACTACAGATTAAAGCAGCCTAATCCTTGTAAAACATACAGATCGTCATGTGATCTCTTCTGCTGGTGCACATCATAAAACACACAAACATGCACAGGCTTCGGCCGCTCTGTGTTGGATTAAAACAATCTGTGTTTAAACCCCATCGAGTGCCATCGACTGTGCCTGGGACGTGTTGGACCATCAACATAATACAGACGTAAAATTAAATCAGAAGGCTTTAGGACACAGATGATTCATCACGGTTTGTGCACAGCTTATCAGATATTGTTGTAAGGTCTATGCTTTGTTTTGGTCAGAGGATTACAATCGGTGTTTTTGGGTGATTAATGATGGTAGTTGCAGTTCATCTGCTGTTTATCCCTTTGCTGTTAAAGGTGTTGTATCAGCTGTCAGTAGCATAGTATCTGCTGTGTGAACTTTAATGGCATACTCTCCTCTTCATTGCCTGACCAATGAAGAGGAGGAGAGTAAGATGTATTCTGCAAGAATGAATTATGCATGTATATGCATGAATATATTCATGTGGAAAGACAACACATATAGAGAGCTGAACTATAAACTCAATTTACCCTCTGTGAGCAAAACAAAAATAGCTGTGCTCTGATCATTTATTGCACATGTTTACGGTAGCCGTACATGTCAGAGGATCTCCCACAACTCTCATTTAATCGCAAGATTATTATGTTTTTGGGACATGAAATATTTGAATGATCCTGCAAAGGGGCAAATAATTAAATCATAATGATGTAAAATGCAGTATTTGAACACAGAACTCTTTCATCTTTTGTTCTGTTAAATTAGCTGACCTTGCATCATCTATCAGCTATCTGTGACCAATCGTATGTGTCCTGACACTTTAACTTACCTTCAGTCAAGTCATTCATTAACGACATGTATGTGTGTGTGTGTCCTCTCAGGGCCTACACACCGCAGGGTTACAAGACTCCAACAGCTGAGAAAGCCCGGCCTGTCCGAGCCGCTACCACGACACCCACCTCGGCTCATTTAAGCTCCACCCCTCTGTCCAGCTCCGCCCCCAAGGCCTTTTATGGGAAGAGCAGACCAACCGGCTGGCAGAACGACGACAACAGTCTGTCGCCTTCAAACGCAACCACGACACCCATCTCTGACAGCAGCAAGAGCAAGAAGTAAGTTAGTGACTGATGAAGTCCGAGTCGTTTACATTCTGTTACTGTAACATATTGTTTGAATATAATGAGTTTACCAAGCACACTTGAAAAGTCCATCTAAAATCTCCACTGACTTAATTCTACCGCAGTGACCTGCAGTTGTTGTGTCTGTAGTGTGAAGCTCAGCTCAAAGTTGTTGAGTTTGCTAGTTCTTCCTTTACAACGCATGCAAGGAAATGTCAAGATGTTTTATGCAGCGTATGATTGTATACTAACCCAACCTGTTAAACGTGACTAATTAGACGAAAGTGCTTTGAGCTCTGAATGGTAAAATGATTGTGTAACTCAAAAGAAAAAAGATTAGAGGAAAATATTAAATAATTAGCATAGCTCTGTTTCCCTTTACTGTTAATCAACTCATGACCCCTCAGATTTATCTTGTGACCTCTTGTTGGAGTCATGACCCAGAGGTTAGGAACCACAGTTATTAAGTAATTGTAGACATGGTTACATTTATAGAAAAACTCATGAGTGTCTTTTGCCTAAAACCAGCTTCTAAAACACTGACTGTAAATGGGCTGCTAGTGTCAATGGTTTGGGTCAATGTGGTGGAGAAAATACACACTGTTGTTTGTGCTTCTGGTGCTCGTGTCTCGTATCTCGTGTCTCATATCTCATGTCTCGTATCTCGTGTCTCATATCTCATGTCTCGTGTCTCGTATCTCGTGTCTCATGTCTCGTGTCTCGTATCTCGTGTCTCGTGTCTCGTATCTCATGGCTCATGTCTCGTCTCATGTCTCATCTCTCGTGTCTCATATCTCATGTCTCGTGTCTCATCTCTCGTGTCTCGTATCTCGTGTCTCATGGCTCATGTCTTTGGGCGATTGTGGCTAAGTGGATAGCAGGGCCGTCTTTCAATCAGAGGGTCGGCGGTTCGAACTCCGGCTCCGCTAGTCGCATGTCGATGTGTCCTTGAGCAAGACACTTAACCCCAAAATTGCTCCCGTAGCTGTGCCTACGGTGTAGAAATGTGATAGACTCCGAATTGTAAGTCGCTTTGGATAAAAGCGTCTGCTAAATGACTGTAATGTAATGTAATGTCTCGTGTCTCATGTCTCATATCTCGTGTCTCCAGGCAGGTGGATACAAACTCAAAGAACGTGTTTGGACAACCTCGGCTCCGGGCCTCACTGAGGGATCTGCGTTCTCCGAGACGGACTTACAAAAGCACCGTCGAAGACGACCTTAAGAAACTGATCATCATGGACAACCTGGGAGACACGCCACAAAGAGATCCGGTGAGGAACACTCATAACACCTGTAACACCATTATCTCAGTCAACAGTCTTTCTTTGATGAACTTGCACACCCAGCTCTCTGATCTCTGGTCCCTCATCTGTCCGTAGTCTCCCAGGCGAACCTTGCAGCGCACCTTCTCAGATGAGTCGCTGTGCAGCGGCCGCAGAGAGGCCAGCTTCGCCAACTCCGAGAACCCGATGACGCCCACTGACGTTCTGTTCACCTGCACGCTGCCCACACGCAGACACGGCATCTCCAACCAAATGCAGGGCAAGAAGGGTGAGTTTAAACTTCTGCTTTGAGGCATGTAGAGAAAACTTACACTGCTGTGTTGAGTGTATTAGCTGCCAAGTTTCATTCTGTGGGGATCTAAGGAGCTCAGTAACAAAAGCAATCATTTATTATTGTAATGCACAAGTTATTTGTTGCTTTCATAACTTCTACAACCTTGTAGTGTGTAGATGTCATTGTTTGATGTTTGTTTGCTCACTGTAGCTGCTCTGCTCTCCTGTCCCTCAGTGCCTCTGTCCGCCTCAGAGCTGTCTCTCACAGAAGTCAGAGACAAAGTTCCCCCCCTGAGGAGGCTCGATCCCGGGCTGATGCCTCTTCCTGACACAGCCTGTGGGCTGGAGTGGTCCAGCCTGGTCAACGCTGCCAAAGCCTACGAAGGTGAGGCGGGAGACACTTCAGGATTAGGTTTGTTCAACTCAGTGTGAGATTCTCAATGTAGCATTTTGTGTATTGTTTAGCCTCCGCCCCGGCTGGAGGCATGATGTTTTTGTGTTGTCTGTCAGTCGCTAAGCGATATCTCAGGAAAAGCCTGGAGGGAATGAAACAAACATCCACTTGCTCTTAAGGAAGAAGTGATTTGACTTTGGTGGTGAAAGATTAAGCTATTGGCCATAACTCAAGAATTCACATGCCAACTATGAAAATTTCTCACAAATATTTAACAGGATGAAATGATGAAGTGATGACATTTTGAACGTACATTGATGTTAACTGCAATATGGCTGAAAGTTCTGCAAAATAATTCTGTTAAAATTGTCTGAAAGTTACATTCACAACTGCTTACATTAACCGTCTACATATCAGATTTATTGTTCAATTCAATGCTAAACAAATCAAAATTTCCCCAAAATAGAACTGCTCTGTTGTAACAACAAATAAGCAAGATTAATAGGTGTACAATCTTACATGTGAGACATATCGTTTGTCTGATCGGTTCCATCGCGTCTCGGCTCTCTGCTGTCACACGACACTCCTGGGAAAGAAGGAGATCTCTGCGTTCATCTATGCTTCGTACGCGATCGCCCGCTCTGCTTCCCAGACGCTGTTTCTTTTCTGGGTCTCTCTCCTGTCCCCTGTGTCCTCTGTAACCACAAAGACGATCACAGCACAGCCAAACACGCTGGACTCAAGCCAACACTTGATCCATAACCTCACCTGCTGCCAGGTCCTGCTGTGCTCCGGTGTGATTGTGTCATGTACTATCTCCAGGGACGCTTGGGTAAAAAGACTCCTTCATGCAGCTTTTTTTAAAGTGTGATCGTGTGTCTCTGTTGCAGCACAAAGAGCCGTTTCCCTCTTCTCGCTGAATGAGCCACAGGTCGGAGGTCCGGACATGAGAGCAGTCGTCAGTCCAGTCCAGTTTCAGACTCCTCAGACACCACGCACCACACCGACCTTCAGCGGGTAGGTCGACCTCACTGTGTTTCTGTGAAGTAGTGCAGTCAGAGAACTCTAGCGATACAACTCCTCCTCACTACTGCCATCCTGTGGTGATGCATTTAACTGTCAGAATGTATTTGAACTGCATCCCAAGCGTGTTTACTCCTTTGTATAGTCTCACTATAGTAAACAGTTGGATGTTTGAATTGTTGCTCTGGTGTCTGTGCTGCCAGACAGGGTTTCTATTTAGTGAGCTGCACTCAGTTTATTATTGAAACTGAAGAGCTTCAGTTCAAACAGTCTTCCACAAGAATGAACACGCACACAAACACCAGTAAAACCTACATAAGCTGTGCAGCTCGCTGTTTGTGTTTTTTCTTATTTAGAGTGTTGTGATTTGTGCTCGAATGATGACAATAATTATTGTTATTATTATAATGCTGGGTACATGAAGGGGCGAGGGGAAAAAACGCTCGATAGTAAACACTCACAAATACCCCCTGCCCCCCGACGGAGCCGTCCCACTCCTGACGGTCTGGGGCTCTGCAAAGGGACCTCGGGTATCTGCAACGGGTCAGTAATAATAATCTGTGCCGTGTGTGTGTGTGTTAACAGCGACGAGGTGCCCAACGAATTGTCTGGTCGGCTCTTCCACCTGGAAGTGATGTTGAAACAGCTCAACAATGATCTGGAGAAAGTAAGAATCTTTTTTTCCTTTATTAAACGGTTCAGTTTTTGGAGAACATTATAGTAATGTTGGTTGCATCCACCAGGATTCCCAATTTCTTCGTTTTTTGATACCTTTGCTTTCTCACCTTAACAATAAATCAGCTTTTTACCAATGTGTGGGTTCAAGATACAGAACAGATTGTCTAGTTCATTATGATTTCACAAAAAAGTCAATGACCCTACCAACATCTTTAAATGCTTAAAGTCTTGTCTGTTTTTTAGAGGTTATGTGTTGCTCGTAGACACTTTTTTGTCACCGTAGAACCGAGCCAGACCACCTGTTTCCAGTCTTTATGCTAAGCTATGCTACCTGTCTCCTGGCTGTAGCTTCATATTTAGTGGATACACATGAGCGTGGTATCCATCTGCTCATCAGAGTATTCCCCAAAGTGATTCCTTTAACAGTGAAAAGTACAGTTCCATTTATTGTCCGATCAACAAGTAACTGAAGTATCCTCGTTTCTCTTCTCCTCTCCTCATTTTCGCCGCTCTACTACCAGGAGAAGAAGGATAAAGTCATTCTGCTGGCAGAGATGGCCAACCTGAGAGAGAATAACCAGCGCTTGCAGGTGGAGAGCGTCACAGCCAGTGAGCAGCTGCGCAAGTTCAACACTCTTTTTACTGACAACGGCCAGACAGAGAGTGAGCACGAGGCTCACTCCTTAACACACGACAGTGACTCGAGGAGGGAGTGATGCCTGCAGAAGAAGAAGAAGAAGAAGAAGAGAGGCCACAGAGGAAGGGCCGGCGGTGAGAGTACCCATGATTCCTTGCACGCGCAGCGGCGGCAGAGGTCACAATGATGTCACCTCACTCAGCTTCCACTGGACTGCCTTAAACTGTAGAGAGAGCAAAAAACAAGACCGTTGATTTTTAAATTCATCACTCCCCGAAAGTCCCACCCAGCCTGCACACAGAGACCCTCCCTCTCTAATCTCTGAGCCTGTTTATTTTTATAGACTGAAGTCAGAAAGTCTTACACACTTGTCATATATATATATGTATATATATATATATATATATATATATATGTGTGTGTATAAACATATGCTACTATGCCAGAGGAGCGAGTAGGAGAGGAAACTGTTTTAGAGAACGCCACATCACCTGGAGAGGCCTAATACTGTTCCTGCAGCGAATCAGCCAAAAAAAAAGACTCATTACAGACAGCATCTCCCAGAATGCACTAGAAGTAATGGAAGCTCTACAGACATGGTACAGTAGATAGATGCCTGTGTGGTACAATTCTCATGTATCAATATTACCCATATTGTACTCATATTGTCGTACTAAAGGTGTGTGTGTGTGTGTGTGTGTGTGTGTGTGTGTGTGTGTGTGTGTG